AACTAGAGTGCGGACTCCGTGGTGATTTTTTTGTTTGGTCATTACCCATGTGGTGATTATTTTGTTAAACAAAAATCACCTTATTGTTAAGAGGTGAACGAAAATCAGAAAGAATTGATTTATTGAGTGGCTTCTATTTTGTGAAGTACGGTAGTTCCCTCTAGGAGCAGTTGCCATGCAACACTTTACAGGCTAATCGGCATCCACGACTGGCTATATTTTTAGTCAAGAAATGGTGAATGCGATGCAGATGACTGTACGTGGAAGAATTAGAATTAGCGAAGACAAAAGGCAGCGTAGCAACTGAACCAAAGATTGGACGAAATGTATAGCTGACACGGTTATTCAAAAGATTTGAGCTAAGAAGCAACGAATAAACGAGTATGAGAGTCTTGCAGAATTCGCGACCATCCGCTTATTATAAAATACTGCGCCTGAATATGATTTCACAAACAATACCACCAGAGCCCTACGAGCTCAAACGACACCGGGAAATCCTTTCTAAACTACTTTTTTTTGCGAATGTTTCAGCGATAGACCAAGTAGGACGCGGTTATGTGTCAAAATTATGACAAACTGATAGGCAAAGTGTTTTCGAATAAAAGTTGTCCCAATGAGTCACTGAGACCCGACGTACCACAATGCTTTACAGCTTAGCCATTCTTTTTAATCAATTCATATTGAAGTATTGAGCGTATAAAACATTTCTCTCATCTTTCAATAGCTTCGATCACCATTCCTGCTCTCAGAAGCGAAGAGTGGTCAGATCCCTGTTTTGGGTCTGACAACTAGATCACAATAAACGGAGCCCAAAAGTCACACCAACTTTCAATAATATTAATCGCTACTTAATTAACTCATGATCTTGGAAATCAAATGAAATATATGTCAGACTAAAACCAGTTTTGTTAGCAATACAAAGCGCAACATCGTTGCCGAGACGCCACTCGCTCTTGCCTTAGTATATGCCAACTAAATCTGGGCTCATACTCCTTAACCAACTGGTTCAACAACGGTTCAGACTCGAACATGAACAAGGCCGGCCCCCATTGCTTGTTGAAAGGTTACAGAGGAGTGATGGAGGCTTGAAATTTCAATACAGGGCTACCCGACTTCAAGAGCTTACGGATCAAATAAAATTCCACGTTGGCAAGATTGCCCTGGCGTTGTTGTCGCATACGCCATAATACAACCTGGGACCCCCCCCAACTGAACAACAGTGTAATTTTCTATCGGAACCAGTACATGTCAAGGCTCTTCCGCAACAAATATTTTCACATGAAGTCAAGTTGACATTATCAATACGTTGCTATATTGAAGAGCCGAGGTGCGGTGCGAAAAGGACAACTCTCTTGATAATTTTCAGGTGCATTACGCTATTCGTGTGAGACTTAGTGTAGATATGATCGGTTATGTATATTTCTTCCAAGTGCAGTGCGATTCTCTTCAATTACCTAAAGACTCATTTAGCCGTTATCTTTAATGGTCCTAATGTCAAATACTGCGTAAGATCTAATTCGAAAAAAGTTTCGTCACTTCTTCACACGCCTACTCCGTTGTCGGTGGCATGATAATACCTTCTTAGAAGCTCTAGCGTAGAAAAGCTAAAAGCAATATATAATAAAACTAATTATTGACCTCTGGAGTGGAACTTAAAGTCTGGAGGTTCCCTTAGAAATATCCACAATGATCTTCCCAATATTCTTGCACTCATACATGTGGTCAATGGCATTAGGAATGTCTTCGAGCCCACAGAAGTTAGACGGATCCACGCCAGCCTTCAGCACTCCGCGCTGTACCAGTGTCGTAAGCTTCTTTGTGTGCGTGTGTATCTCACGAAGATAATCATTGTATAAGAAGCCACGAACAGAAGCTGACCTAGCGAGCAGTTTCGAAGGTAATGGCATCTCTGGTTTTGTGAGCTTTTGCTTCCACGAACTCGAATCCTGATATCCAGCAATTGCTCCAATTACGATAATACGGCCTTTACGCGCAATATTGTCAACACACGTCTGAAACATTTCGCCTCCCACACTCTCGAATACAAGGTCCACGCCACGGGGATACTCGTTCTTAAGTACATGAAAAACGTTTTCGCTGCGATAATTAATGGGACGATCGCAGCCAATTGAGTGTAGGTATTCCACCTTTTCAGGAGAGCTACACGTGCCGATCACGTGGTTGCCAGCAAGCTTGGCCAGCTGCACGGCGAATTGACCTGTTGCGCCGGCAGCGGCCGTGACGAGCACAGTCTCCCCGTGCTTCATCTCGCCAACATGTTCGAGTGCTATGGACGCCGTTAAACCACATAGTGTGATCGGTAGCACCTCTGGGATGGCGACTGGAACCTTGACCAATGAGCGCTCCTTGGCCACTATGTGCTCGGAGAAGGCACCATAAGCTGAAGTCATTTCACAATCCAAGATGTTGTCAATTAGCATCAAACTTAGTAAAAAAGCAAATCACTTGCATGTAAATACTACAGCGTCGCCTTTTTTGAGACGCGAGACGCCTGGACCAACCTCCAGCACAATGCCCACTGTAAAATACGTTCATTTAAGTTTGAAAGTATCTTTTGAACTAAATCGATTTTTTTATCCTCACAGGCGTCGAATCCACAATCAAAAGGTGGCAACACGCCTGGCAAATAAATGCCATTTGTGTAATTAATGTCGGAGGCGTTGACGCCGCAATACTTTGTTTGCATCAGCACCTCCCCTTGCTTGAGCTCCGGGATTGTGAAAGCCACGATAGCTGTACACTCGCGAAAGTTGGTGGATAATTTATGGCATACAATTTTTCGGGATTGCATGACGGCAAGTTGGTCTTTAAATGGATATGAAGTTATCATACAGAGTAGCAATTAAATGTATCAGATGTATTTTCAATTATAAAAATCTCTCAAAATATAAATTCATACATGAAGCATACTCCCTACTCCTTACGGAATCATCTCAATGTCACTGTCCACTTGCGAAATTTTAAATGACAGCTTGGAGTTGTTTGCTGTAATTTCTACATGCGATTTGGCGACTAACTTTCCGGCGATAATAAGTTTGCTCAAATCGGTCACAATGTGCTTCTCAATGAATCGCTTGATTGGGCGGGCGCCGTACTGAGGTTCGTAAGATTCGTCTAGAATCACATCAAGAGCAGGAACCGTTACATTGACAGATATCCGCGACTCCTTTAGGCGCCTGATCACAGACTCAAACTGCAACAGCACAATCTTCCGCAGCTCCTTGCGTCCAAGTGGCTCGAACACAACGATGTCGTCCAAACGATTTAGCAGCTCTGGTCGGACTGTTTGACGTAGCTGTTGAAGTACTAATTTTCGCTGCCTGACAAACTCGCGCTTAGTCTCTTTGTCGTTGTCTAAAGCATCATTTTCCGTCTTAAATTTCTTGCTAGCACGTGGTGACAGCTCATTTTCGAAAAGCAGGTGCTCAGCTCCGATGTTAGACGTCATAATGATCACAGCGTTAGCGAAGTCGACCGTACGTCCATGCGAATCCGTTAGTCGTCCGTCATCGAGCACTTGAAGCAAAATGTTCAGAACTTTCGGATGGGCTTTTTCAATTTCGTCTAACAGGATCACATTGTAAGGATTTCGACGCACAGCTTCTGTGAGCTGACCACTTTCCTGGTACCCGACGAATCCTGGGGGTGCTCCAATGAGTCGAGAGACACTATGTTCTTCCATGTACTCGCTCATATCAACACGCACCATGTGTTTGTCGTCGTCGAAGAGCTCATACGCGAGGGCTTTAGCCAACTCAGTCTTGCCGACACCTGTCGGACCCAGAAAGAGAAAGCTACCGGTAGGCTGACCAGAGCGAGCAAGGCCTGCACGCGAGCGAAGCACTGCGTCGCAGACAGCCTTGACTGCTTCTTCTTGACCAACCACACGCTTGTGAATACGCTCCTCCAAGTGCATGAGACGGTCGCCTGTACTAGCAGTTAGCCGGGAGACTGGTATTCCCGTCCAACGTGCAACCACTTCGCAAATCTGATCTTCACGAACAACTTCCTCAACCATCTTTTGCTGATTATCGTCTTGGTCCTCACGGATCTTTGCTTCCTCTGCAGCAGCAATACGACGCTTCACATCAGGAATAGCATAATATTGCAGATCAGACGCAGTCTGCAAATCCTGATTACGTTCTGCCTGCTCTGCCTTTAGCTGCAAGTGCTGCAACTTCTCGCGCAAATCACGAATCTCGTTTACACGCGCCTTTTCCGCTTCGTGACGAAGTTTCAACGGTCCAAGCTCATCTTGAATTTTATTTAACTCTTCCTGCACCTTAACCAGGCGCTGTTTGCTCAAGGCATCCTTCTCCTTTTCGAGTGCAGTAGCCTCGACTTGAAGCTGTAGTTGCCGACGTTCTAATTCATCAATCACCTCAGGTTGGCTGTCCAATTGAACCCGAACATTAGCGCAAGCTTCGTCAATAATGTCAATGGCCTTATCAGGCATGAATCGTTCTTTGATATAGCGGTCGGCGAGCTTAGCCGCAGCGACAAGCGCTCCATCCATTACCTGCACACCATGATGAGACTCGTAGCGTTCCTTTAAGCCTCGTAGAATGCTCACTGTATCTGTGACAGTAGGCTCTTTAACCAAAACTTGTTGAAAACGACGTTCAAACGCCTTATCTTTCTCCACATGCTCGCGGTACTCGTCCAACGTTGTCGCACCAATGCAACGCAGTTCACCACGTGCGAGCATCGGTTTAAGCAAATTTGCAGCGTCCATAGCACCCGATGTTTGACCGGCACCAAGAATCAAGTGCATTTCATCGATGAACAAAATAATTTTACCATTGCTGTCCTTGACTTCCTTCAGCACCGCCTTCAAACGCTCCTCGAACTCACCGCGATACTTAGCACCAGCAATAAGGGCACCCATATCCAAACTAATAAGCTTGCAGTTCAGCGACTCAGGTACATCACCCACAACAATACGGCGAGCCAATCCTTCGACAATCGCAGTTTTTCCAACACCAGGTTCACCAATCAAAACCGGATTATTCTTGGTTCGCCGTGACAGGATGCGAATAACTCGTCGAATCTCCTCGTCTCGACCAATCACTGGATCAATTTTGCCAGATTCTGCTAGCTCAATTAAGTTTTGACCGTATTTGTTCAACGCATCGTAGTTTTCCTCGGCTGCAGCACTAGTAACTGGTCGTCCACCTCGGATCTTTTGCACCGCGTCTTTTATTTGATTCTCGTCCATTTGATTACTCTTGAGTAAACTGGCAACCTGTGAGTTGTTAAACAGGGCCATGATCAAATGGTCGGCCGCCAAATGTGTATCCTTCATGTCTTTGCGCATTTTGTGTGCATACTTGAGCATCTTTACGAGCGATGAGTCAGCACCAATCGAATCCGGCGCAGGTGTCTGCTTCGGAAGCTTCTTAAGCTGTAACATAACGTCCTGCTGGAAGCCAGGAACGTTGCCATGTACTAAATTAGCTAAGCGCTTCGCAGTACCATTATTGTCGTCGAATAATGAGTAGGCAACGTGCAAAGGAGTGAGCTGCGAGTGCCCCAACTCCTCTGCCATGTCCTGGGCGCTGCGCAGGTACTCGTTCGTCTTGTCCGTAAATTCGGCTGGATTCATTCCAAATGTGTAATGACTGATAGTTCAATGTTGTATCTTGAAGCAAATTCAATTCTGGCGGTAAGTCGCAGTGGATCAATGTTTGCTGTTAAGGAAACTAGATTATGCTCGAATTTTCGATCGAACTTAGTGCGATACCCATACAAAAACGAAGCCACAGATAAATGAGACACAACTAGGCAAACGTGATTGGTCAGAGCACTTCAACGTGTCGAGAAGTCTGGAGTTTTGCTCTCTGTAGACTTAATGGCTTCAGGCTAGGGTCAGCAGCAAGGTTTCGAACAATCGACGGAATTGCACCAAACGCGCACGTCAAGTGGTAACATTATATTTAGTCTGGTCTACTTGTAAACGTACGAGACTGCACAGGCACGCATAATTCTGGTCATTTACAGACCACTAGCCAATCTTTTCTCTAATGATCTTAGCAAACTTGTAGTAAAAAGCTTGAGATCTCACAACCAACTACTATAATAATTTGGACGATTGGCTTAAAGAAAATTAAAGCCGTGCGTAGTAAAGACGAGGTCGTCGATCCACAACAAGGAATTCTTCATTTTTTTTCACAAAGTACTAATTCCAGATATTGTCCGGAAACTTAACAAATGTACGACGCAATTAACCGTACCGCCAAAATTATCGCAGAAACCGTCGCAAATTAAATGTCGAATTCTTGTCTACGGACGTCGGTAGCTTTTGTGCATCGTGGACTCCAAAAACTTTGATTCCTCCTTGATTTCGTTGCAAGAAAACCACAAGCTTAACGCGTACCGCGTACCTGTCTCCACCATTCTCACTGCATGCAAATTTTCGGAACCAGCCGTGAAGATTAAAAGGCGGCCACGAGCAGGCTCGATAATCGTTTCTTTGTTGTCTTCGTCAATAAATGAAAAGAGGCCTCCAGTAAATTCTTCACCATAATCTGAAAGATAAAGAAGCCCCGAGTAATCATAGTGTCTCGTGTTCTCCTTATCCACATGCGGGTGCCTGTCAACAGCAAGTGAATTTAGGGTCACGACAATGATATTTCATTCGACAAAATGTACCAATATTCATCGTGAATCACAGCGGGCGTCCACGAAGCGTTTCCAACCAAACGAGTAATAAACGTCGGTACGGTAAAATACAGCAATGTAAGATCAAATTCTTCCATCACGGCTAAACGAACTTTCCTCACGATACTAACGCATGCAAATAAATTAGGAAAAGGATGCAACTAACAACGCTTGAACTTACTCGCGGTACAACTTAAATTGCCTCCTCGAAAATCGTTTAATGCCCGGTTTATCCTCGTCGGGAAGTCGCTGCTCAGGCTGGTAAATGTTAATCAACCCCTCGCTGTCGCGAACAAATCCTGTATTGATATCCATAATCGTGGGGCCACCAAGCGCCGACCGACCCTGCATTCCAATCTCAGCAATTTTGCGCAGATCGATGATATTCTGTGGCGACACAAAGTTATCAATGATAGCACGGCCGCACATGGTTCCATTCGCCAGGTGACAGCCCGCTACAGACAGGGTAGAGCTCTTTACAACAACACATAATAATATGTATCTCGTGAGTTCCTAGCTACCACAGTAAAATAATTTTCGTGACGAACCTCATCTGCTAAGCAAGAAACATTATAGCGACGATGTTCTATCACGTCAGTACGGGCGATGTAGTGGACAGAGCGCAGATATTTGTATCGGCCTATTAAGTAGCTTCCACTAACAGCCGCCGCTATAGCAAAAAGCTTTAGCACCCATCCAAACTTGCCAAAAGTTGATTTCACCCCCTTCTTTTTAGCCTCAAGCTTTGCATCTCCAATTTGCTTCGTAGGGGAAGCAGTGGCAGATGCAATGGTCCTCCGAGCGACCTTGTTGGCCATGATTGTTTGAAATTTAAACGCTGAATTTGTAGTTTACAGCAGTAATTTAAGACAAAAATTCAACGTGAATTTTGCAGCTTAAATATTAACTTTTCTTTCGAGATACCACCTTTTACCTATCCAGTTTTGCAATGATAAGCCGTGGTTGTATACAATTTCTGTCATGAGTGCAAGCTCAACAGATGTGAAGGCGGCGGAGGTGCGCATAACTCAGCACCGCGACGACGCAATGCATGCGAAAGTCCAAATCGAAGAGTCAATCGAAGCGTTAAAGACCGCGCGAAATCGAATCTTGCTAGAGAGACTTGATGAGGCCACTGAGAAGCAGCGCTTGGTGGAACAAGAAGCCCTTGCGTACTCAAAGAATGTCAACAGACTGTACCAGCGTGCGGCCAAGTGGAAGACCGACCAGAAGCGTTTTCGAACAAATTTAAATGCACGTTAACAAAGTGATCAACGATTTTCGTATAGGCTAATGAGCGTTTCTGTTGATGTGATTCAGGAACTCGATGGGTTTGCTGAATGGGCGGCTTCAACAGAAAAGGATCTACACGCGATCGCTGGAAATTTGGAGTACGTGTGGGCAGTACTAGAGAAAGATCAAGATAGTGCCTCCAACGATGGATATGTACGAGCTTTAGATTCCACATGAAATTCTTCCTTTAGCTACTCATTAGCGAGATTATGAAATAAAATTATTGCGTATTCGGGAACTTGCATAGCTTACATCAAATACTAGAACGTAATGAGGCAAAGAATGACTAGGCTACCAATAATCAAAAGAAAGCGAGACAGAAAAGCTTGCTGCATCTGTTGACGCGCCTCTTGAGCTGTCAGAGGTGTTCCATCATTATGGTTCATGACTGAAGCAGGAGGTTGCTACATGTAAGCATACAATCTTTTATCAATGAAGCATCTTTTTGTGTGGAGGAGAAGGTGTTGATTGAAAGCAAACATACGTAAGGTACGCCGAGAAAAGCTGGAACGAATCCGAAGGTTAAAAATGACAGCGAAGATCCTTGTCCGATATCATTAAAAATGCCGATCTGCTACCGCGACAAACCCATCAAACAACTCGTAATAGACTTCTTTTGCAACATATTCAAACGCACATTAAACGGATGTCGCCGCCGGAGCTGTTCAACGTCTGGACGCTGCCCCCGTGGACGGTGGGGAACGCCGCTATCAGATACTTGCTGGTTAGTTCTACGTCGCTCAGACCATCGGAAGCAATTTTGAGATGTGAAACACATATTTTGATATATAAATTTCAACTGTGCACCGTGGGTCGGCTGTCTCAGCTCCTCTAGCATACACCGGAATCACGTTTTGCTCACTCACTCCAGCCTTACACACGGGGCATTCAGAGTGACTTTGCATCCACTGTACACGCTCTGTCTATTTAGTAATGTGCGCAAGAAGATGAATACGTGTGTTATGATCATCAAACCTGGTACAGACATGGCCAACTGGAAGGCAACGTATCGACACCCGATACGTCAGCTGCAAGAAGCTAAAAGAACGTAAAAATTGCTGACGTGATGCCTACCAATAAAGATGACCACATAGTGTCACCACAGGACTGGATACAGTGTCTAAGCATATATTACACTCGAACAAATGCTCTGGGCGTTCGGAGGGCTCAGCGTTCAATGACGCTGTGCTCGCTGTTTCAATTCCTAGTCCCATCTTCAAAGTGTCGTTAAACTTTATTATTTAGAATTTTAGAGAAAATCAACTTTAATTGTAGGCTGCTTCTGAAGCGAAGTTTTGCACCGAGTCCATGAATATAAAAGGTCGATCACTCGCATTGCATTTTGCCTGCAGTAGCTTATGATTACTCGGCGAGATTTTTAGCGCCGACGGCAATTGAAATGATTCGGCACCATGCAACGGCGTCGTCAACAAGGATAGTGTGGTTGCAGGAACCTTCATATCCAATGCATACGAATTCAGCAAAACCCTTTTCTGTTTAGGTGAGATGATCTGAGCAGATACACCACTCGACACAGTGTCAACCGCAACAGCCAGCACTGAAGAACTCGTTGCATTTGGGCAATTTGTCGTCTTTGCACAATCTGGTAGCTGACCACCACCACCCATTGAAAATACATCGGTAGCACCCTTTAAAGTCGAAAACCTTTTAATTCGCTTCAACTTACTGTTGGCGTCCGGGTTCTGCAGAACGGCGCGCTGTTTTTCCTTCAATTCAATGATCTGCTTCGCGTACCGCGTCTTATCTAGAGGATCATTTGCCAACGACTGGACGTGCTCAAGCATTTCAATTGTACGATTAAGAGACCTAATCTGTCGATGTGGCCATCTCTTGATCCCGCAACGACGGCAAATTTTCTTAAGAAACGTCGTGCAGATGCCAAATGCGCGCGCTACATCGACGATTGGCCGGCCAAAGTGTGGACGTAATTTTTCCAGAGTGAGCTCACGCGATAATGCGGAAAGACGCGCACTACGTTGTCGATTTTTTTTCTGCGGCACATTGGGAAGAAGTGTCAGCTCACCGGATGCCTCTTTGGCCACCACTTCTACCAACGAATCAAGAAGCACATCGTGATTCCCAAACTTCTTTTCAAGCCCATTCGCAGCCGTCGGGATATCCATTGACTGCGTCATGTACAATAGTGAGATGCTGGCCTCCATTTCCTTGTTGGACATGCTGGAAGTTGTCATGGCAGGGCGGATTTTGATTAGTGGACGGTGGGCTTTTTCCTTGTCAACTTTGAACTTCGACCACCTTTCGGTATGCGATTAGGAAGGGCTGCAGTCCAGCAACATAATCATGTAGATTTTGAATAACTTCTCAGAGAACTACAGTAAGTATGAATAAGATATTAGGAGTGTGCAACAAAACATGTGATAAATCGAGTTTTAGAGATTTTCAAATTTCAATCAAAGACTTGTAGACAACCTACTTGTAACAGGGCTACACGTACCTTTGTAGGAAAAGGCGAGTCGCACAAGATTGTGCGACCGTACATAGGTGTGTATTACACAGTGCTATCACACCGTGGTGTGGCTACACCGTAACAAAAAGCCACCACGTGGCAGGATTGTCAGTT